TAGTGTACCCAGATCAATATCATTACTTTCAATTTGAGCTTTTTTGCAAGGGTTTTCAATAGGCGGAATACTAGATGCAGGGGTATTATCTACATTTATTGTTTCTTCGGGATCTTGAGAAGAAGAACTAGCATGCTTTCTTTTAAAAAACCCATGAATGGTAGGTTGAGTTTTCATCTTTATCTACATAGCARTTTTAGACTTTAGTGTTAGATTAATCACCTAAATCACCACATAAAGTCATAAATTTAGACCTAATAATCACCTAAATCAGTAAAGAACAAACCCATGACTGTTAAGTGTTAACCAAAGAAACAGTTAGAAACCAATGAACAAACCAGTGAACTAGTGAAGAGTGAACTGTTAAGGGCTTAAGGCTATTCCAATGGTACACCGTGTATTCACAGAATCACAAATCACAAGCCCTAACTTAACTCTACAGACTACTCAATCTGTCAATCTGTCATTAGCAATTTAGCAATTTAGCACCAAGCAGTAGCAATTTGTCATTAGCAATTTAGCACCAAACAGTTTAGCACCAAACATGCCCCTTGCATTTTTTCAATACAATTTAGCACCAAGCAATAGCACTAGCAATCTTTATCTAGCCATCTAGGTCTAGCAGTCAACTGGTCAAGCAGAAGCAGACAAGCAGTGAATGTGAAGCAGAAGCAAAGCAGTGAATGTGAATCAGAACAGGAAGTTGAACAACAACAGTCAACACTCAACACCTGAGAATGAGAGAAGCAGGGGCTTACTAGTTACTACCGTCGTCCGTCGATGACTCGCTGTCGTTCTTGCTGTCGCTGCTGCCTGCTGGTCGCTGGTCGTCGCTCCCGCCCCGCCTCCCTGACTGTCTTGCCAGTCGCCTCAGTCGCCTCTCCTGGTCGCTCGCTGCAGTGGTGGCCCGTCGGCCGTCAGTCCTTCACGGCGTCACCGTCGTCCTTCGCTCTCGGTTCGATTATCGCCCTGAGTAGTCGTCTCTCGGGAAGGGATTGGAGGGGAGGGGCCGATGGAAATTTTTGGTTTTCTCTAAGCTCAGCCTAAACTACTCACAGGTATTTGGGAAAAAAATCACAGGGGCCTGGGCCCCTATAGGCCCATATTGTGTTCCGCCCCTGTATACAATTACCAAACAATTATATTTCATTTTGCACAATATCATGAAGCCTCTTAATCATTCTGACCACTTAATCATTTTGCACCAAACCATTCAGCAATTGCCAAACAACCCTTATATTTGCTACAGAAATGGTCCATTAACGTTAGATGATGGACATTTTTTGTATTTTCATCTTTTTATTGTTTTTTTAACGAGTCCTTGTAATGTATGAATAACTTGTTAAAATATTTATTTACAAAAAAAAAAAAAAACCAACTCTATCTTCATGCCCTCCACCAAATTCTAACGAGGTTACAATCACATCACTATATCATTATTTTTATAGAAATTATATTGTTAAGCTAAAAATAAATTATATCGTTATTAGACCTAAATTAAATTATAATAAAAAAATTGAATTAAAAAAATTGTACAGAAAATTATAAATTACTTTGCTGTTACGACCACATCACTGTATCATTATTTTTATAAAAATTATATTGTATAATTTTTAAAAATCAAATCATTTTTTGTACAATTTGTTTAATTCAAAAAAAGTGAGTTTCTTATAAGTACTTTTTCCAATTGTAATTATTCTAAGAACCAACATTTTTTGCTTATAAGAACTTTGAATTAGAGATGCTCTAAATACTCATTCGTCCCAACATAAGTATCTAGATTACTATTTTAATTCATTCTAAAATTAGTCAACTTTCAAAAGTAAACATGGATGGACCTAGAGTAGAGCATATGGTGGCATGTGCCACCGTATTATTCCACCGTCGAAAGGTAAAAAATTTAGGTCCGTGAAAGGTGCAACCGTATTAATTTGTTGTGTGTCACCGTATGTATTTTGAAACTACAATGAGAATAAGTTTTATTTGGTAGAGTTGGTTTGCAAGACTTTTATTTCATCCCAGACCCAGGTTCAAATCCCGTTAGT